GATCTAGACACCAGCTCCCTGCAACCCAGAAAGGAAATGGATGGATGTTACTGCAACTACATGAATGCACTTAGATCCTCCATCTTTTGTACTGAAAACTGTTAACATTTTAAAACCAGGTACAAAACACTACAATGAATGAATAAACAGTTCAAATTAACAGGAAATTGTCATGTTGTGGTCAAAGCTGCTGCTGTGTGAACATTATATGAAAGTGGAAACACCAAGAGGCTGTACATAGAACAAGAAGTCTGAAACGTCTGTTATTCGTGAATATGATGTAACTTCAGCTTCTTAATGATTCCAGTTCAAGCAAAGTCAAATATTTTCTGATCAGATGTGAAGTAGATCTGGATGTGAGGATGGGACACACTTTGCTCTGCATGCTGGGACTTCTCTGTAAGTAAATTATTAACGTTATTTAGTTTTATTTTTCAACTTGGTGCCTTAAGCAGCTGGAATCTTTAGATCTGAGAAGGCAAAGTGATGACTATTATTTAAGTTGTATATGTTTTTCAGTGTTTTATTTTTTACATTTGATGTATTTGACATCATCATTAGCTGTTTGCGACAGGTCACTTTTTTAAAAATGCATCAGTTTTCTGTCATTATATCTGTAAGTTTGACTGATGAGGTTTTGTTCTTTATTTTAGTACTCAGTACACTCTTCTGTGGACAGGCTCAAGGTGAGAACTGTTCTTTGTCTGTTGTCTCAATGTTCAATATAATGTTGACAGTATTAATGTAGATCTTAATAGTTTTTTTTTGTACTCAACAATATTATCTGTGCATCATTAAAAAATACTAGACAGATCATCTGTGTAAGCAGAGGTGCTGATTCACTCTTAAAGTAAAATCTGTTTTCATGAAAGGCCAAAATGTCTAGATTGTTGTTTTTTACTTAAGTTTTTGTACCTAGTTACCATTATAGTCCTTAAAGGAATGCATTTCTACAACCATCATATATTTGAGCTAAAATGACTGGGGGAAAAAAATGTTAAAGCTGTTTTGGTCAAACATTTAAATGACATTTTGCATAATCTGATAAGATACTGAGATCTTGATAGAAGTGGAGGCACTTAGTGAATGGCTTGATGACCCTCAGCTAAACTGCAGCAGATTTACAGGAGCTCATGTTCAGTAAAAAAACTGAGTTGAGACATTTTTG